AGGCATCGGGGGGAAATAGGGATAGCAGACGACGCGAAACGCGTCCTTCGGAACGTGAGACGCGCCGAGGACCGGCTTGAGCGTTGCCATGGCATCGCGACGTCACTATCTACGCCATCTCTCATTGGCTCCTCTCTTCTGCGGCGTGCGGCGTCAAGCTCTGAACCGCGCACGGAGCGGTTGACTCTGCGGCGCCGTACGTCGCGCCGTTGAAGCCGAAAACTGGTTTCGGTCGGCAAACGGCAGCACCGACCGTCGCGCCGCAGGCCTCCGCGACGCCAATGTGGTCGTGCCTTTAGGCGCCCGTTTCCGGCTTGAGCGGCGTCGGCGTAACCGCGAGGTCACGTGACCCGCCAAGGTCACGTGACTCCCAGAGGTCACGTGACCCCCAAGGTCACGTGACTCCCCAAGTCACGTGACCCCCGGGAGGTCACATGACCCCCCTCCCCCCCCCCCCCGAAGTCAAGTGACACCCTCCCCCCGAGGTCAGGTGACCCCCCTGGAGCATATTCAAGAATGAGGGGAGGAGGAGGAGGAGGAGGACGGGTCTACCCTCCCCTCAGTACCCTTCCCTCCTCCTCCTCAAGAGCTGCGCTCCAATTCGGCGCTACAGGGAGTTGTAAACGGTTTTCACTTTTTTTTCTTTTCCTCTTTACCCTTAGCTCCGTCTCTTCGAGTCGCATTAAACATGTCGGCGTGGTCACACCTGGTGTGGGCAAACGCTGACTCTTTTGCAAGCGGCGTGTCGCTCTATAGAACCTTGAATATGAAGGTCGCCACACTTCTTTTATGCCAAAGCATAACCTGTCGTATGGAGCGAACCGGCGTTATCAGCTTTTAAAGCTGCGCCTCACGGCACCTAAATTTCCCTGCCCGATGGAGCGAAGCCTGTAGTCTGTAGCACCGAATTGATGGAAAACTCCCATTAGCTGGCGCCCGGCATAGTTCCAAGAAACGCCACCCCACAAAGAAGCCCTCTCCATGGCGCAGCGGGCCGGCCGCCGGTAAGAGGGAGAAGATGGCCGGGCTCTGGAGAGCGGCCGGCCGGAGAGCCCGCCTGGGCAGCTTACGCAGAGGTCGCCCAGCCGGGCTGAGCGCGGCGCGCAGCTTGTAGGAATACGCTAGTACACCAATGCTTTCGCTTGCCTACATGTTAGCAATCTCAAATGTCGTTGTAGCCTCTTTTTTTTTTTTTGTATGTTGGGTTTGTTCGCGCCTGAATTTTCTCCATTCAGTAAAGCCTGCGCGGTCACATTCCTACGGAATACCCAGGTTTCCGATCGTTGCCTGACGAAACTTGAAACTCAGTCATTCTCCCTGACAGCTTTGAAAACGCACGGCGTGGCGAGACCCTAACATCTTATGATCGCTGCAGAGCCAATCAAATTGAGGCATTAGGCAATAAGAACGACGAGAACGAATCACGAAACAGGAAGCGCGAACGTGAAGAGCCACATACTGCCTTTCTCAACCAATCGGCGACTATAGGCAACACCACCTAGACAGTAGGGCTCCGCATGCGTCATCACAGTAAGATCGATGGAGGCGTGAGATTGGGTACGAGTGCTGTGTCAGTGTTCGGCTGGGGCTCTTGTACAATCAGCGCGTCGAAGGTCAGGCCCGGGCCCAATAGCTGAGTTAGCGCGATCCGACTCTGATGTCGTTTGATAGAAGGAGATGTGACCATGCGGAGGCCTTTTGGTGTTGCTATGGGCCACAGAAACGCGATGTGCGGAGCGACATTTTGATTGGATGATATTCTTAGCTTCATCATTCGTAATGATTGTTCCGTTATTCACCGTGATTGGCAGTCAGCATGTCGTGCAGAAAAGTGAACGCGCAGACGTCTTAAAAATGTAGATAAAAAGCGGGAAAAAAGGTGGCTGCTTAAAGGGGTCATGAAACGCTTCTCCAACTTTTTCCTGTTTAGCTTTCCTCCTCAACTCATAAATCGCGCATTCCAGCATTGCCTGTTCAAGAAGACGAAAAGAGGAGAGGCCCCTCTTGCTCGGAATATGATTTGTGCACCCGGACAGAGCCATTGTCCCCCTAGAAGATTAACCCATCACTCAAAATTTAGACAAAAGTTGCTTTCCCCAACCTGTTCACCCCGAAGCTGACAGTGCTGTGGAAGCTACGTGCTCGTCGGACCAGCCACATTTGCCACATGATCACGCTCCCTCGCGCATACCCACGGCCAGAGAATGATGTCAGGTGATGAAAGGGAGCCGGCTGATTGGTCCAGCAAGCGCGGAGCTTCCACCACAATGTCAGCTTAGGGGTGAAGGGACTAAGCGAGGTCCGGTTTCGTGTGACGTTCGTTTGAACTCGATGACGCGCTTTTGGGACCGCGGATGTGTCACACTGTAAAGGCAGAGAGCTTACGAAGGGGAGGAGGTACGAAATAGTCCGCTGTGTTTTCAAATTTTCGCACTGAAAGTCAGGCTTTTGACTTTTTACCTTTGTTTCTTTTGGCCCACTGAACAATGTGCTATTAGCCTAAAATCCCAATCTAAAACCCAATAATCCCAACCCAACCCGAAATTCGTTTCATGGGCTCTTTAAACAGCAAATCCGCTCATGTTCGAAAAATTTAGGCTTACATGTGATTCAGATTCACAAAGCACTACTAAACAACTCTACGTCTTTTGATTCGCGAAATGTGCAATATTATTTGTGTAATCCTAATTTAAACATCAGCTGAAACCGAAACTTCGGTTGCGTCCGACAACGTTGGTCTCGTGTCGTCAGAGTCATGGCGACGTCACGTCGAACCACGTGGTCTTGTGACGTTCGGGAGGGAGCGAGGGACATTACATGCGACGCGGGCAGGTCGCTTCGCATGGCGTGGACGGTGATGGCCCGGGGGAGAAGGGGAAGAGAAGAAGACGAAAGAGGAGAAGGGGAGCGGAGAAACAGACCGATAAGCGCGCAGGGCAGCGCAAACTAGCGCATCCGTGTTACCGTGATCACGTGAACGCCCGGTCAGCCAACACCGGGAGGAGAAACTCGTGACGTCATCGTTCAATTTCGCTCTGAGAAGTAAATACAAGCAAAACGTGAGAATGACGTAGTCATGCCTCTGACGTAGTGGTTCAACGTTGGCCGCTCCAACTTCGTCGCATTCACTGCGCTGATGATTGCGCCTCACGTCGCACGCTAGAGTTGGCAGATTTCGGTGACTTGGCTCACTTGAAGGTTTGCTGGCCAGTTTATTAAATATATAGACGGAATTAGATCGTAATATTTGACGTAGGGTCTTCCTATATGATAATGAAGAGGGCTACATAGTTTTCTAAGTATCAAAAGTGAAGCGGAGTTGCCCTTTAAGCCTCCGCTTCGTTGGCAGATGTGCTGCCGCGCGTGCAGCTGACCAAGCAGGCAGCGCGCTCGTGGCCTAACGGTTATCGCCACTGATCTCTATTGTAGTAGACTGGATCGCGGAGCGTGGCCTCGGCAGCTGGGGCCGAGTGTCGCCACCGGTGGCTATTGATTGACACCAGCCAATGCATGGCACTCTATGGGAAGAACGAGAAAAAGATCCGTTTTCCCCCGTTTCTAAGTTGTTGTTGGCACTGAAACTTTTTGGATGCTTTTCGATAAGCCCGTCAAATAGCTTGCGTAGAAAGATTAAAACTGACAGCCCTCGCAGTTCTTATAAATAAATATTTTGTGGTCGAAAGTGACTCCGCAGTAGTGCAGCTCAACGAGGCGAGAGATACCTCGAGTTACAGCGGAGTCGGTGGCGGTTTCGTTGAGTTGGGTTTAGCAGACGACAAGCTCGAAGGCTTTGCTACTCGGAATTCGCTCACTCCCGGAAAGCCGCTGTCGAGATGGCACTTCTTTGTCATTCATCAACTTCTGGGCTTCCCCGAGGACGGTCTCATTGACGGCAAGTCCCTCTGCTTACTCCACTACGAGAGCAAGCTTGCAAGCTCAGCTAGTGTGCTCCTGTACGCTTGATTTTTTTATTCGGCAACCCAACGTTTGACAAATCTCAATTCAATCTCGAAACGCCCGGCATGAGGACCGCAGCGCACTATAAAATACTCGCCTCCCTGCACAGCGTAAATGCATCACTATTCTTACTTTTGTGCGTTTCTCCCATAGACTTGCGTGTATTGCCTGGTGTCAAGCTATGGCCGCCGGTGGCGACACCGACAGGCTCCCGATCCGCGATCCAGCCCACTAAAATAGCGATCAGTGGTTACCGCGCTTGCCTTCCATGCCAAGAGCGAAGGTTCGATTCCTGGCCTCGGATACACTTTTTTGTTGACTCTGTAATGTGATGTTCTGTACTTTGTCTCATCCCAGGATGGACTAAAGGCCAAAGCCACAGGCCGCCAGGTCCAATCACGCTCCACGCTAAACTATGACATGCATAGCATTGATTAGGGGTGGACGCATAATACACCAAACACTAAAACGCTGCATCATTTCTATAGCTTCGACACTGAAAACAGCCTGTACGTCGCGGCTTGTTTTTTTTTTTTTTTTTTTTGCAATGTAAAATTGTTGGGTCACTCACTGCTATTCGATTCGAACCACTGTCCACCCATCCCCATCAGTGATTCAAGACGCGGGCACTCATACGTGCATCAAAGCGCAATACCACGCAATTTCTAAGTGACTCGTGATTGGATCTGGCCGTCCGTAATTTTTGCCTTTAGTCCATTGTAGGGTGAGACGAAGTATGGTAAATTCGAGGACCGTGTTGCTGATTCGAGGTTAGAAAGCTCTATGCCCGAACCTTCTCCGTCGATTGTTCCTGAAGCCCACGCGTGTATAAAAGGGGCTTCGCGTGGCAAGCCGCAGTAAGTCTCGCCCTAGCGTTCGATCCTGCTCTTACGCCGACTTCAACGCACGCGACGCTCTGTTGTTATTTTCTGTTTCCTTTTTGTTTTGAGCACAAGTTCGCATTCGTGACAATAGCACTAATAAACTCGGGACTTTCGAATACAGAAAAGTCTGCATTCTAAAGGATTGTGTCCATATTGCAGGGTCTCTTCGTGATAGGAGATGCCGCGGGATTCGTCTCCACCTCTACCTTTTCCCAATGGAAGGAATCCGAGTTCCGAGAGATTCCCGTACCGGACCCGGAGCGCACCCTGATGGCCCTGGCATACACGTCGGGCACCACGGGACTTCCCAAGCCCGTCGAAATCACGCACTACAACTTCGTAGCTTCATTTTATACAACCGCGTATGTACGAAGCTTGCCTGTAGTTATATGGTCGTTGCTACTTTTTTTTTTGTTAAGATGAACGTAAGCATGATACAATTTTCAAATTTCTAAGCTGCTGCTTAAACACTTACAAGAAATGTTTATATATGTATTTTATGAGACAGGATAACTGGGCTAATTGGCGTGGGTTCATCTTGAAACAGCGTGAATGTTACACGAACGTAAGAAAGAAGCGCGCGTTACAAGCGCTGACTATTAACGGGAATTTTTTTCTGGAAAATCCGCAAAACAAAAACTTTCAAAAACACATAACTCTATAATCGCGGTGGGATGACGCCTGTGCATCACCGAATTAGGTGATATTGGTTATACAATTCCATGGGTGATATTTCCTGATCTAAAAATTCTACCTCAATGTCCATCAATGCCAAGGAAGCCTGGCTCACGGAGGTTGTACCCTCCTTTTTATTTTTTGAGCCTCTATCTAATACTTTATTCGTCGCCCTGGGAACGCGTCTCTTCTTACACACAATAAAAGATATGTACAGACAATCTACATCCTATCGCATTCCACGTTTTACTTGAAAATTCATACTTAGAGATCTAGCTTTTGTTCTGTTTTTGTATAGTTTGTTAATGAACATATATATTACTAGATGATCGCTAACGTAAATGCTAATTGGGTAAGCTGTGATAGGTAATAAATTTTAATTTCTGACAAAAAGCACTAAAGGTGAGAATGGAGGCAGTAACTCTCGTTGCTTCATTTTCATTGCAGTCATAAACATTTACCCCAATAGCTTGCACTAAGTAGTGTCGTCGCACATTTTGTAAAATAGTCAACGATGGACATGTTCGCAGGTGACCGAGTCAGCGATTGCGATTTTCCGGCTAGTTTGACAACACTAAAATCAATTGTAGACACCCATAAATATTACGAACTGCTGGACGTCTGTACCTTAGCACCCTCTGTAGATCACGATCAGTGCACACCCCACGCTTTATAAAGAAGTAGACACATACGCATCATTCACTCATTTAGAATACTATCCAAGGGTCTTAAAATAGAAATATTTCTGAACATTGTCTCTTTTCCCTCCCCTTAAGTCATTGGGACTGGCTTCTGAATGACCCCTTGCAGGAAATGCGGCACTAGAACCGACGGAGATGTCACGCTGGCATGGAACCAACTGGCTCACGTCTCAGGGCTATGGAGTATCCTCACAGCTTTGGCTGGAGCAGTCTGCGTAGTTGTCCCTCATACCTTAGGGATGGACCGGTACGCCGATATGATCGACAAATTCAAGGTGAGGGGGTACGCAAACTATGTTTCTATTTATTGACTGCTGGGGCTAATGCAACTTAAGTTTAAAAAAAAAAAAAAAAGGAACGCGGTACATTCACAGGGAAAGTTTAAAAGTAGAAGAATTTAATATTAAGCTACTTCAAAGCAAGGAACACAGCACTCAAGCCGTCTCGCCTTTTTCTCTTTAATAGGAAAATGAGCTGGTAGACAGAGTATTGTCGAAACCGTCGCGTATTTTTTTTTTTCTCGTAAATTTACTCCTTATTTATTTATATTTAGCAAATACCTTTTCAAAATTTATCTCAGAAAAGTCCATCATACAGATTGGAAAAAATGCACCCACACATAATATTGCATTGCTGTTTGCGATGAGTATAGATCCCACAATTCCGATTATGTTCCTTGCGGTTTGTGTAATAATTTTAAGACTTGTATCTAAACTTGTAGGCCAAGCATTAGTTTGGAGAAGGTCTTCTTTGGCACTAGTAGATGCGCCAAGTAAGCGTGGCAGGTCGTTCACGCTTGTATTACTCGCGCTTGCACATTGGGGTGCCGTCTAATGAAGCCTCTCACGTCTCCTTTCTTGTAGGTAACTCTTCTTCATGGCTTTCCAGGGCGTCTTGAGAAATTGGTGCATTACGTTCACTCCACGGGTAGAAGACTCAACACTGTGCAGGATGTCGGCGTCGGGGGCGGCGCGCTCTCAAAGCAGCTCGCGGAACTAACCATGAGCGTTTTTGAAAACCTTCGAAGTCTGAGGTTGTTCTACGGAATGACAGAATCAAACGGCTTTCTCTGTGCCCCGCCGAAGGATGTCGTCTCTTACACTGACATCGGGTATCCTGTTCTCATGAGCGAAATCAAGGTAACAAAATTTAATTTTTTTTCAGGTTTATTTGTCTTTTTAGCTGAGCCTGTAATTCTGATTCTTACGATGCATTGACTTGTGACTGTAGTACATGCAGGTACAACATTTTGTGTCCTGTCTTAAGGCCAGATATATGAGACTTTCTTGAATAAAAATTCAAAAAACCCTAAAAACAAATTTTACGCCAAATGAGAAACGAAATGGGCCGAAATCGCTCCTGTCATCACGCTGGTTCTCGAAGGAATGCGTGAGCATTTCGCGAAGCGCTAAATTATATCAAAACATGGTGAATGCAGCGTCTCAGCACTTTCCGCGGGGTGAACCTTCCTGAAACTTTTGTTCTCCCTGGTGCAAGCAGATCAGGTCACTTAGCGTTTGCATAAAGGACGTCCGCGCGATGCAAAAAATCGATCGACCCATTTCCTTGTTGTGCAGACATGTGCATACAGGGGCGACGACACCGTGCGCTTACCACCCGGTGACATATGGTAAGACAACTGCGCGTCATTATCGGCGTGGCAGGCCGAAGAACGCAACGTGCAGCTCGCATGCGTTCACATGCCTCTGAAGCCGGCTGCATGAGCTTCCGAGGGCGTCGAAAGCGCGCACTAGCACGCCGGCCGTCTGACGTAACACCTTATAACCGAGGTGCAGTAGGGGGACAGCGCGGCTATGACGTACTTCGGCCACCGGCGGGTCGCCGCCGGCGGGTCGCTGCCAGGCGGCGTGTACGTCTGGCCCAAAAGATTGGTTAATACTTTTGTAATAAGCCATGCGCAGAATGTCGCAACAAAGCGGCGTGAGCGGGAGGACGGGGAGAGTTGACTCGCGCCCCAGTCCTTCCCAATTCGGTCTCCCGCTGTGCGGCTCCGAGATTGGCGAAGAAGGACGTCGCCGTTGATCTTCGGCGTCTAGGTGTGACGTCACGGCTTACGCCGACTGCGTTGCTAATCAGTGCTTAAAGTCTCCTACCGGCGGCAGGGGGTCTCTGTAGTAGTCACCTCGGGGGAAGGGGAATGGGGGGAGGGGTCAGCGTTTAACTCACATAGCCAAACGCTGCGTCAGAAACACGCCAAATAAATAATGCTGTACGCATGGTTGTAGTTCTCAACATCGTCGCCGTCGAAAAGATCCCCCCAGACCCCTCTGAATTTGAAGGCCCACTATCACACTCGAGACTCTGCAAGGCGGAAACTCCTCCTCACCAGGGGGGAGGGGGAAACAGGCAACAGTGGACAGGGTAGAAGGGGGGATTGGAGGAAGCGAAGGAAAAATGGAAAGTGGGAACTGGTCGTCGGTGTTTAAGCACTGGTTGCTATGCGTCCTAGCCTCTCGAAATATGCACCGTGCCGCCATCTGTCGACTCTTGCAGAAGGTCTTTCCTAGCCAGTTTCCAGAGCCAGAGGGGCTGCGGCGCCACCCCTTGGCGGCGCTGCGAACTTTGAATACGCGTTCTCCAGCCAGTCCAACGTCAGCGCATATACCAAACAACTAATGCTAACGCAATAAAAATATCTATGGTGCAAAAAAAAAAAAAATTGTCTTAAGAAATGTTCCGTAACTTTTTGCATAAACAATATTTTCGCAGGAACCTAAAGCTAGTTTGTCCTCATAAACCAGTGTGCACGTCCTCCAGAATGGCAGATACCCAAGTTTTAAAATGCGCCATGAAATTTCTTGTTCACTTTGTGCTTGACTAAGCCGAGCTAATGGCAGTGCCAGGTGCACAGTTTCTTGAGACTGCAGATGGTTCAACGCTGTATTTTGAGACATCTACACATTGAATAGACAATTTTACCACGGGGCTTTGGGGGCTTAATTGAAAGGAAGATAAAAAAAAACTTTGACTAAGCGGCGCTGCGAAGGGTTAGAAGTAATCAACACTGAGACGAGACAGACGATATGACATATACAAAAATAGGCACGAATTAACAACTGTTCATTTTTCTTTCCACGGAAGAGTGTACCAAAAGGTGAAAAAAAGGAAGAAGAAAAAGGAAGAGAGAACTAAAAAGCATATTTAAATATAGAACAGCGCTATCGCGATTACCGTTATCAAAAACGCTCAAACCTACGCCGTTGTCACTGAGGTACGTGCGAGAGGCCCGTGCGTTCCTGCCGTCATGAAAAACGCATTCATCACATCGTGTTTTTTTCTTTTCCCTTTAGCTAGTCAGTATGATGGTTCTTTGGGATTGCGCCTCACAACTGTTCCTTGCACAATACGCTGCCAGATATCGTGGGACTTACTGCAGCTTTCAGGTGTTTTTGTGCTCTCGTAGTCTAAACATTTTCCTGTTTGCCCAATGTAGGCTTTTTCAAACGCAAGCGGTATTTTTTACGACTCCCTCAGCGCGAAGTGATGGAGGCGTTTTTTGTGACTACAGGAATGCACAGAACGTTTGTCAGTAAGCCTTCAATTGTATTCACAAAAAAAACGAGTTAATTAAAAAAGTGGAACGCGATAGGGTTATCAGGCCCCGTTCTCATCGCCTTCTCATTCGCTTCTCATCTTCTTTCTGTCAGTGAGCAGGAAGTGCGGTGGACATGGCCTCGACTGTTTGCAATGTTTTTCTTATTGCCAAGTTATGGTATGCGTTGCAGTAATTCATTGTGCCCGCATGAACGTGCAAAAGTTTCACCGCATTTTTGCGACATACATCTGGAACTCGTCTTGGGAGCCCATGAGGCGCGACAATCTGTTTCATCGTGTCAGTGACGGCGGATTGGGATGATCGGATTTGTTTGTACGACAGTTGGTGTCACGTTTCTTTTTTCTCCGCGACCAAGACCACCCTTTCATACACGCGTTCATTCAAACAAGACTGTCATTCCATTTGCTGACCTTCGTTGTATCATCCTACGGCGGTGAGTCATCAAGACTATATGGCTTTCACAAAGAGGTTGTCGACGCTTTCCACTTTTTGTCTTCCTGCTATTCTTTGGAGTGTCTGTCTGTGGTAACCAAGGAGACGCTAAAACGTGACTTGGTGTTAAGTTTGTTTCCTGCCCGCTGTACAGAAGTGTCGTTTGCAGCGATGGTCGCGATGTACTGAAACGCGTTAAGCGCATGTGTGTACTACCCGCTGTCAAAACTTTCTTTTTCAAATTGCGTAGCAATACTCAAAGCTTGGCTGAGAGAAAAGGGCGTGGGTTGTATGTTGTGTAAACAACCCGAGACCGTCGAGCACGTTTTATTTTCTCTTAAAATGCAGTTTTTTTGTTTTGTTTTGTTTGTTTGTTTGTTTTTTTTGGGGGGGGGGGACTTCCTTCAGCGTACGTTACAGAAAGAGTTCTGTATCAGCCCGTCGGGCATACGTTTTTTTAGTTAAAGCAACGACGATTGTATACCTTTTGATATGTTCTTTCTTTTAGGGCTGTGCAGTATATATGGCGGTCGCGCATGGCAGTGCGTCAAGCCGACCCCGATACCAAAGAAGTTCGGTTTTATTTGACCTTGTTAAACAAATGGAAAGTGTTTTTTTCTACCCGCGAGCGGGAGCCCGAATGGCTAGGCCTTTGGAAAGAGCTGTTGGAAATGAAAGCTTTTAACATGCTCTGCAAAAGCTTTGCAGAGCATTTTTAATAGTATTTGACATGTGTTTCCTGCTCAATGCAATAAAGAAAAAAAAAAAAAAAAGCGGACATGGCCTTGTCAGTAGCGTGTGCGGCTCGCAACCGAAGGGTTGTGGGTTCGAATACCGCCTTCAATTATTCACATTCCCTTCAAGGCAAATGAAGTACTTTATAAAGCGGAATTATTTAAGACGTGCGGCGACATTTAATTTGCATGTTCTTTAATCACTTTTACTTCAGGTGTTGCATTACGTTTCACGTGAATGTTGTGGGTTGTTTAAAATTCCCGCGCGAGTTTATGTGGCTCTGACGTCATTACCCTATTGACCAATCAGCATTTTTCCGTCACGGCGCCACCGACGCCGGCTTTTCTGCGACACGAGCTCCTTAACACTGTCGCGTTAGAAGACCAACGTATCATGGGCCGCACGCAAGCGCTTCGGTGACAACGGCGTAGGTTTGAGCGTTTTTGATGGCGGAAATCCAAAATAGTTCTTCATTCTTTGTCTGTTTTTCAGCTCCGAACCCCCTTTTCTTCCTGTTCCTTCTCTTTTCGATATATTTTTTTAGAACGTTTCTGTAGAAGGAAAAATAAGCAGCTGTTGTGCTATGTTTTAGCCTTAGTCCCGACGCAGTAGCCGCTACAAGCTGATGGGACCAATCAGAAAGTGTCGAAAACGCACCATCATGGGGCTCGTCATGTTTCTGTACGTTTTCTATCAGTGCTGATCTAATGAGAAACAGGCAAGGCAGAGTGGTCTGCGCTTTTGTTGCTGCTTGATTGGTCCCATTACTCTGTATCATCGACTCCGTTTAGATTTCAGCTGAAACGAAGTATTTAGTTTGCCCCTATTTCAGTTTGTCGTGTCACCGTCGTGTCAGTGTCGCTAAATCCCAAGCTCTATCTGGAGCACTATTAAACATACCCCGTCGTACGTTGCGATACTCTAATTTAACACGAAAGTGCGGCTAGATACGAGGCATTGTTTTGTGAAAATATCGATGAAAATACGCAACCTCAATTAATAGTTAACGATGTATTTAATTCTGCACACAAACCTGCATCGATTTTCGAATTTTCATGTCGAAGTAAAATAGCTTTAGTGTTGACACTATTTTCCTTGAGTTGCGGCTATATTTTATCCCTGCGTTGACACCTACGTTCGTGTATAGCGCGCTCTGATTTGGATGTGCATGCTTTTTTTCTGTATAATATTAAGTACGCACAACTTAGGTACGTTATTTTGTGTTTTTTTTTTACAAAAACGACCACGGCAAAATATTTTAGATATCAGAAGCCTTAAATTGATCATGACACAAAACTTAGACTTCTTAACTTGAAATCTTCAAACATCATATCGAAACCAAGTTTCACAACTTATAGAGCTCTAATTCCTGCGAGGCTGTGTGTCTTATTGTTCTTACTATGTATTTATTGACAAGACAGCTCTAAGAAAATTCTAAAGTTACCAGCCTCCCCCCCCCCCCCCCCCCCCCCCCCGGCCCCCCCGGCCCCCTTTTTTTTCCGGGTGGCTCAGGCATTCAGCACTTCCTAATCAGAGGCAGATGGTTAGGGAATGTTGAAATTTATGGATTCGCTGTTACCATAAATCTCCTATCTGCCAGCACCCCTAGGCACTGACAGAAAGGAGGCAGACGACATCACCGACACTTCAAACATGGTAGGGTTGCTTAATGGACGGATTGGTAGGTCCCGCAAGGCTCAAGCCGATCGCTTTACCTCCGAATCTAATGCGGTGATTGCAAGATCACAATCCCAATGGCATGTAGATGTCTCCCATTTTGTTTTTCTCTAGCACCATTCCTGTGCACAGTAGACACGTCCCGAGATAAGATGACGCACAGTTCCCTCCCTCCGCCCCCCCAAAGACAAAAAAAAAAACAAGAAACAATAGAGAAATTTAAGGATTAGTTCACAAGCTTTGTTCGCGGCACGTGCCGAACGTTGGGATCATGCAGGCATTCGAATGATATCTGAATATCCTCTTAGTTGGCACCCCACTTGTTTCATTTTTTTTTTTTTTTTGTAATTGGCGATTCTTTTTTTAGGTCGTAAACGTGACCACTGGTAAATCACTGGGACCGAATGAGCCTGGCGAGCTCTGCTACCGATCACCCGCGGCATCTCGAGGCTATTACAAGCGTCCTCTGGAGACTGCCCAGTTCAGAGACAGCGAGGGATGGTGTCGGTCGGGTAAGTTCTTCCCCTTAATAAATTCAGGGTCGGTTTCGCACCACTTACGATAAAAGTGAGTCTTACGTCGATTACCACGTACTGTTAACACCGTTACTTTTTCGTAAAAGTCACTGACAATTTGAGAACGGCAAGGCATCTCTTTCGAATACCCGGCCTCCAGCACGCGTTCGTTGCATTTCGTCGTCCTTTAGATGCGTGTCCACAATAGAGGCTCACGAGACAGTATTATGCGTACAATGCTGTACTAAATTCTGACTGACGCACTTACCTCCTCCCTCTTAAAACACCATAAAATAATAAATGTTTACCAACTGTACGCATATAGACTTGCAATCTGCATGTTTCAGGACTCGATACTTCCGCAACCAACGCATCTTTCATTTTGCATTCTACCAAGCCATCACTATGGCTTACGGCATGATTTGGAAATACTCCCTAAAATTAGGACAAACATAACCACACAAACACTGGCGTATCAAATCCCGAACTATTTAAACACGTGTACTGACCTTCAAAAACTTACCGCACCTAGTACTTCAATAAAAAAATTTAAATGCATAATGAAAGAAACCTTAATAGCAATCGAACCATAAAGAGTATATAAAATTGAAACTGAAGTGACTGTTTGGTATGAATTGTTCATCTGCAACTTGTTATTCGAATTTTTTTTCTTTTCATTTTTTGTAATACTGTTGTTAATGCAGGAAAATGTGATTTGATCAGAGTGTTTTTGATATTTCGTTTCGTTATCGACAGTAACTTGTATTTCTACTATAAAGCGGCATCGAGGCCTCGTCAGTCCATCTGGTTTTTTGCATTTATGCTGCAGACAATCTGTATTGTCTAAAAAACACTGAATAAAATAAAAGGTAGGAACCCACTAGATAAGCTACGCTTCAGAGTAACGACCCTTACCTTTGTTAGTGGTTAAAATCATAGTGGCCGGTTATCTCAAGCTTTAGTTTAAATCACAGGAAACGCTTTTCCGTCTTCCAAACATGTTTAAACAGTTCACGGCATAGCAAAGCAATATTACATGACTTAAAAGTAAAACAGAAAGCCGTTCACAAGGCGTCGGTGGTCAGGACACTCTTAACCAGGGTAAGGACCACCTGCTGATCGGAAGAGGTCAGGAGAAAGGAGAAAGGAGGAACAAACCGTCATTTCGGACCTTAAAAAAGAATGGCTACCCGAGCAGCTTCATCCATTGTGTTGCCCGCTGTGTAAGCCGAAACCAACGACACGTGCAGCAACAGTCAAGTGTAAATTCCTGCCAAACCTCGCGCATCAGCGTTCCCTACATGAAGGGAACAAGCGAGGCACTGGCACGTGAAAAAGGGCCTCCAAACGGCGCACAAACCTGTGTCTACCCGTGGACGACTCATGCAACGCCCAAAAGATCGCCCTGCTAAAGACAGAACCCAAGGCGTTATATGTAAGATTGCTTGCGGGGTTTGCGCGTCCACATTCATTGGCGAAACAAAGAACATTTCAGAAAGAATCCGTCAGCACAAAAAAGACGTACGCAAGTTTGATTATGAGCGTGTTGCGGTTGCTGAGCACTGCGACGTCAAGGACCATCGTATTGAGTTTAACAACACATGCATCAGTGACATTGAGACAAATCCCCGAAAAAGACTGTTTCTCGAATCCTGGCAGATTCAAATAACGCCACAGAACATCAGTCGGATTCTCGGAGCTTTACCATCCGCATATCTGAACGGGCTTCGTCACTATATTGACAATACAGCCGTAGAAGGAGGTTAAGACACCCACCATAGAAGAAAAAGAAAAGGACACTGCTCCTCAACGGCAATAACTGTAGTCACCCCTGAAGAAAAGACCGACTTGGCTTCGAATGTAAGGCCCCAATAGAGGGGCTTGGTTGGTGTTTGAGCTTTTTAATAATACTACATGAGCTTCCTAACAGGGAATCTAATGCCGGGGATGCCGCGCTTTTGAATTATGACGTTTGGCAGTTGCATGTGCTTTGTCCTAATCACCAAAACGGTGGTGCGCACAAAAATATCACGACTCACGGTGCCGATACTCTAAGCGTAGCTCATTTAGTGGCTCTAGTAGGAAGCTTGTGCTGGAGCCGGAACAAGCAGAAGTTCTCCCTGCCGTTCTTATCCTGTCGGTGACTAAAGCTGATCTCTGCATTCTTTCAGGCGATTTGGCCTACCACGATACAGATGGCCGAGTTCACTTCGTGGAAAGAATCAAAGAAATGATCAAGTGCCTGGATCAGCAGGTAGTTCCGACAGAACTCGAAGAATTGCTGCTCGCCAAACACGGCGGTATCGCGGAGGTGGCTGTGCTGGGTGTGCCCCACCCGGTCTACGGAGAAGCACCGGCCGCCATTGTCGTGCCCAAGGAGGATATCAAGAACGTTGCTGGAGCAATGGAAAGAGAAATCAAGGATATCGTTGCGGGTATCTCAAATTCTTTACCCGGTCTAAAGGTGTTCAACATTAAAGTGCAGGGTGTTTTTCCAAATGAAAAATGTTTCTTGAAGGGATAATATTACGATTTTTTTCGTGATATTAAGGACCCTCTCGCGAAACGGCTAGTAAATACATAAGTATTCATCTCTCAGATGCGAGCGAGATCTATATTTCGACTAAATCCTTATTAAATAAATGAGAATTTGCGGATTTTATAAATGTTTAATTAACACGAGTGCAACATATTCCTTTCGATGAAATAAACCAAGTGGATACCTCTGGGCTCTATGTTTTAATATCGCAAATTGATTCTCAAAGAACAATAAAAGTGTCCCATTTTCTCTCTCTCTGGTATAAGCTAGTATGCACCTATCGCTTATTGCAGAGGTGGTGAGTTCTTTGACTCGCGGGTCTAAAAGCCTTGGTGGACGGGTCGCATTCTGATCAAACGCGTATCCTACGTTTTTAGCTTTTTTATGCCTATCAGCAACCCTTTTGTGGCTTCCCATATTGAAGATCAGTAGCTTCAAATATCGAACTGTCTATTTGAAAGAAAGAAAACTCCGAGCATGTGTGTGTATTACTAACGCTGTGATTCTAATTTCATCTCTACCGAACATGAATTCGCAGTTTGCTTAATGTCGGATGACCCTTGTACAATGGTAAAACGCAGGCAAGTTGGTGGAAGTAGAACACAAACAGATCTATCATAATACTTTCTGTAGAGGCAGTTGGCGAGAAAAAAAAAACTGTTGATGAGAATACATAGTTTCCAATGCCGTCACTTGGTCAAATAAGATATCGGGGGAAAAGGCGCATCTTTCGGTGCGTTCACGAGGCGCCTCTGAATTCTAGAAAGAAGAGCGGACTAATGTCACAGGCAAGCTATGTATACAGATAAAAATTTTCCGGGGTGATTGAGAATCTAAAGCTGCTTTACCGATAAGATTTTCGGTAAAAATTGCACTCAGGGTTTTGCGTGCTCGCCTCTTACACTGGAACACGGGTGACGAAATCTTTTAAGAGTGTTTGTACCTTTTCAGTTCGCAACTTTTTCTCTAAAATGCACTTTCTACTTCCTCCGAAGGAACCTGTGCTGAGTACAAGCATCTCTACGGAGGCGTCTTCTTCGTGGAAGCTCTTCCGAAAACGGAGAGTGGAAAGATACAGAGGAAAGCACTCTTCGATACTTGGGCCAAGTGTACCCGGCTGCCTTTATAACGAACAAATGAACAACCCTCTGCATCATGCAGTTTTCTTCAGCCAGCCTAATATGAAAGCTTTTGAACTCGTCGTTTCAGTATATCTTGACTTGGTGTTGTGGGATCAGTAGATGACTTTCTTCAATAAATATTAGACAGGTTTGGGCAAAATACTTACCGAAAATGTATTTGAATACAAATAAAAAACGCTTTGACAAAAATGTATCTGCTCATCTTTATATACTTTTTCACATAAATTTTGTGCTGAACAACTGCCATGTTAGAGTTAAATTTAACCCAGGAGCATTCCTATTATCCTTCGCAAGGCTGATTAGAAGGTTAATTAGATGCTTGGTTTCAGTGTTGTTGAATGGGTACGCCCATTCCATTCCACCTCCATTCCTTGGAATTAGAGTGTCTGAAAGTTTCATTCCTTTCATTTCTTACGAATGGAGGCACTGGGCCCATTCCAGTTCCTGTGAGGGCTGACCTCTATCATTCCATTCATCTGATTCCTAAACGTGAAAAAAATGGCTCTTAAGATCTACGTTGCGTCATTGGAAGAAGCTGCATTAAGCTGACATTCTCAAGCTCTGAGACAACTGGAAAACTATGCAAAATATTTCCCCAAAGCACTCATTCTACTAAGCCGAGAATTGGTCGAGCGGTGGTCGTACGAATGCGCCTCGTGGCTTTTGGTGTCACTGCAGAGACATTTTTTTTTGCGCGCGCGCGCAAAAAAAAAAAAGAAAAAAAGTTTGCAACAAACGTTAGAAATTGAAATTAGCAATTTTCTCCGCAGACGGTCCCCATACGTGCCATCCACAGATACAAGTTCAGTGTATTGTTTGTTTTGTGAGGGCTTAAAATGTCTACATCGTGCGTGGCGCAAGAAGCCATTTTGCAGTCTGCTATAAATACCTGCCCAACAGCACACATGTGGAGATGTGGGGCAGAAGCGACGCCGCATCGTGCCCCACATCTCCATGCAGAGCTGCAAGCATACACAACCGCTGACTAAGTGCAATCGCTATGGTGTCAGCACGAGGGAATGTAGTGCTATATATTATAAAACGTGCCTTAAAACGTATACTTTCACGTTTGCTGCACGATTCTCGCGATTTTCGTTTTACCTTGTTCGATCCAATTTATTTTTATTCTCTACGTAACACTAGAAGATCTACTTGGATAGAAGTTACGTGCTAATAGCCCTATTGCTAATAACACGAGCATCAAGGAAAATGCTGGGAGTGTAGGTCTATGCGCCGCACGTGGTCGCCTTCCACGTATGAGGGATTCGAAGTAAATAACAAAAATAAAGTGTTGACGAACGGCCGTACAAAATGCCGTCTGTTTTATATTATTGCTTTCGAACCGGTACTGGTGTAGCCACCATCACATCCGGCGCGTAGTCCTATATTCGAATAATTCTTATTGATGCTTGGGTAATTTAGCAATAGGTCTCTGACGCATGGTTACAGCAGCCGCTTTTCGCGTCTCAAGGCGCCAGGAACGACATCTTGTCCGTCTGCACCTTTTCAGTTTGGTAGCTTCAGTAGGTGCGCGCCACATTCATCGTCAAGGGAGCATTAGACGGTAAGTCAATCAATGCAGTCTCCTAAACTGCATTGATGGTGTTCCAAAAACCAATCTGACCATACGCTAGCGTGTCGCCAGCAGGCCGTAGGTAGATTGAAGATACAATAGTAAGGGTGCAGGCGAGCTGGTAGATGTTAACCATGTTGAATATACCTGAGACTGGGGTAGAAAAAACATAAAAGTCGAAGAAACAGAACGGGACAGGACGACGTTTTAATTAAAAGGTAGTTTTGCTTTAATTCGAACCCGCGTCCACTTGTGTACGAAGCGGACACCTAAACCCCTACGCTATGGCACCGCCGTCGTCCTGTCCCGTTCTGTTTCTGCGACTTTTATGTTTTTTTCTACCCCAGTCTCAGGTATATTCAACATGGTAGATTGAAGATCGACGCAGCTCAGATAAGGTTCCGCCGATCACTGACATCGCACAGATCCGTCCATGAAAAGCACCCATCATATGAACTAAAGTCCCTTCATACTTCCTTTTACAAGTAAAGACACACCAATACCAATGACAAAGCTCATTCCGCAGGAACAAAATGGCGCTCAGTTCTCTGCTGTGCGCTGCCATTTGCTTCCTGAAACCTGCACTGCCACGCAGTTCGCGCATCAAAGAATGTCGCTACTTGTAGGCAGCGCTTATCTAGCAACTTTAGTGTGAATACCCCTCATCGAAGCCCATGCGCTTCGGCGTTCCCGCTCATACTGTTCGCGATGGTACATTTCAGGTCCCCTAAGAAAAAGTCGACGAGAAATCCGGCGGCTCTCATCGGCCGGCACCAAGGTCAAGTGCGGCGTTGGCCAATCACGGCAGCCAGATTACTCGACGAATTTTTCGCCAAGTGTCCACATTAGGACCCCTGGTAGGCTAAAAGTTTAAGGAATGGGACTACCTGAGACGGAATATTGACCATTTTATAGTCACTCACATCCTAAGGATTTCGCGGCTCATTATAATCAGTATTCTTGCTTGGTGATTTTTTGGTTTGTTTTCTCTTCGGCTAATCTCACAATCTCATAGGCTGCGAAGCGAAAAGAAGATGGTCGATACTCGCCGCGCCCTGTCAATAAACTTCGTATTCCTTATCCCAAATGCAGCTGTTATGAGGGTAAATTTGTAAGACGGCACTGTAATGGGAGGGGCCGATCGGTGGCCGAGTGGGCTAGCGCACACCGATTCGCAGCACGTGGAGCGAAAGCTCGCGTTGCACACCCCAGGGATCCTGGGCTCAATCCGCACCCTGGCCTGTTTTGATCTGGGGCTCTAATGGCGAAAAAACATCCGTGAGGAATTCGACGTTTTCGCCAAGTGTCTACATTAGAGCTCTGGATGAGCATCGTACCGGCGTGCGGTCGTGTATCGCTACTGCGTGATGCACGTTAAAGACCCCCCCCCCCCCCCCCCCCCCCCCCAGGCTAGAAAGTTGTACTGCACGAGCTCAATTTCCCATCTACAGTGGGTGACAATGTCGCCACGATGAGGCAGACGACCTCCCAATGTAAAGAAACAACTAACGACTAATTACGGTAAAGGGAGGCCCACCCATTGGCTTATGATAGGCGTAGAAATATAAATCTAAACATCAGAGACAAGCAAAGATCAAAAGAGGCATCGCGACTATATTGTCACTCACGGGACATGAAGGACGCCTTTTTCCAATGCCCAGCCAGCAACACACGGTTTTGCCTTCCGTCGTGCTTTTGCTGCATGATCACACTCGATGATCGCGAGACGCCAAAGTGTTACCGAAGGGAGAAAGCTCGCACAGGAGGTGCAACAACTGAAAGCCACCGCCGTCCTTACCGTGTTAGTGACTGTGAAGAAGTGGTTGCCAAATATTTTCACACGACCAATCTGAGTGCAAAAATTCATCATCCCTTATTTTCAACAGAGCTCACTCGATATGCGTTTTCTCGCTATAACTTTGCAAATAATCATTGAAGGTGAACAGCGTTTGATAAGTTGTTTTCTACCATTGTATTAACCTTATATATGTCAAACAGCCTTATATAATAAATGAAATGAAATAAAAACTATAACATCAAAGGCCTCACATTTTATTACACGAAAATTGCATCTCAATTATAGCAAAGTGTTAGTGTTATGAAACTCCAGCATTTTTATTTTAGGCGAATTTGGCATTTTGCCCTAATCCTCACGAAAAAATATTTGAGAAAAATCATACCATCGGGTGATCGGCGAATAGCTAAAATCTGGTACTATTATTTATATCGATAAAACTTCATGAAGTCAGCTGTTTTCAATCAGACGAAGCTTGTTGTAAACTGCGCGCAGATTCTTGAACGGGACGTCGGAGCACTCACAATGAGGAGTGTAATGCTTCACATCATGGACAAGGACGCAAGCGTCTTTCACCGACAGGATCAGCCCGACCTGCGGGAAAAAATGTAACAATCTATGGTGTACATATAAAATAACTAACATAACAATTTATACAAAGACTTAGGTCCAATTTATTTTCTATTTACTTGAGAGCTATACGTTTATAACTTGGTACATTTCTGATTGGTTAAAATTAGCTTCGATTTTAAATCTGTATGACAGATTTCGTTCTGGGACCTCGGAGTCACGTCAGATTCTGCGGCATTGGCAGTTGAAGGGGTCGCGAAACTTACACGGTTTGTTGAGATTGCGGTGCTTTAGTATACAAAACGCCCCCCCCCCCCACACACACACACAAACGCAAGAATTGCTTCTTTTTTTCTTCTGCTGCAAAAAACATATTACGCATCGCTGAGCGCCACTCGAATGTAGCGCTAGGTCCAAACCAGATGTCAACATTTCAAGACTGGGCCGCTATCATATAAAAAAAATGTTACAGTTGATTTTTTTCAATTTTATGTGGGAAAATTGTGGCCGATGACGTGAAGCTGAGTGGCGCCACTAACCAAGTATGGGGCCCAATTTTCCATTGAAATTTTCGGAGCATCGCTTATAACCTTATAATAAGATGACGGTTACTTCTGAAACATTGGAATCTGGTTCAGACTTCTAGCGCTACATTTGAACAGAGGCTGAGCGTTCGGCAATGACTCGTTTGGTTTTACGGTGAAAGAAAAATAAAACTTTAAAAGTATTGTCGCGGTTGAAAAAGGCTTGACGAGCGTAAACTAAAAAAAAAAAAACATGGTTTAATCGGCGAACATGTGGCAGAAACAAAATAAATAATGAGCATCGAAGGAGCAGCAGCGAACTTCGTAGCGTCGGCGTGACAGCTGGTTGGGGTGAGACTGCCAGAGAGTGGGCCTCGTCGTCGGGAGAATGAGTCGGCAAGGCCACGCCCAGTCTGCTTATCTACTACACTCAGTATATCGAATATTAGACCCATACTTTGTTTCAGCTTAGGTCCGAGCGCGGCCGATGCTATTAGCCGAAGGAGCAATCAAACAGCGAAAGAGGCACAACGTCATGGCGTGCTCCCTGCAGTTGATAGGACCAGCCGGTA